AAAAAATCGGATTTGATCAAAAAATCGGAATTGAGCATTAAGACCTGCAGTGTGAACGTAGCCAAAGAGGAATGGACTGACTGTAAAGCTGCTTGCTCATTGGCTAATGACTCGTCAATCATAAGTAGTTAGCTAATCAGCATACCTTTGACAAGTCTAAACATAGTGTGGTCAAGATTTTCAAAGAAGTTCTACTGAGAGCATAAACTCATCAGCTCAGTCTTCAGATCTCTTCTACTGTAATGCAGTGTAGGATGACTTGGTGTAACGCCATAGAGTAGCCAATTATGAAGTGTTTTTTACACTAAAAAATAAATAACATTTCATTTAGAGAGTTTCAAAAAAGTTCAACTTATCCGTAATTATATTAGGGAGCTATTTATATTTTTGAGCTATTTAAAAGCGAGGAATAGCTAGCTCCTTCCGTTAGCCATTGCTAGCAACAAGCCAACAATTAGCTTTCTGTAAAAGCATGGGTTATGGCAGTGGGGAAAGATGGTGAATTCTCCTGTCAGCTCATAGTTTTGGTCCTGTCTGCCTGATTTAATCTGGCTTGCTCACCTGGCACTGGATCCCAGAATTGACAGTGGAATGTTCCAGGCAGTACAGCACGGAGGTGGATTTAACATGTTTTTATATTACAGACTAGACACTGTCTGGCCTTACAAGAGCCAAAGAAGACAAACTGCCTTTACTACCCTGCTCTTTTAGCTCTCATCGCAGCCATGAAAATGTGAAGTGAGCATACCTCCCCCACCAGCAGAACTTTTGAAACACTTCATTTTGAAAAAAAAACAAAAAAACAACAACCCTGGGCAACATAGAGTTGTACACGTTTATGTGTCACGACTTCATTAATTATTCACAACAATCAATTAGTTGAAGCACAGACAAGCTGGTCGGGAGTCAGGAGCTGTCAAACACACAAACAGATTCACACTTTTACTGTGAAATAATTTGTTACGCAGCAGCTGTCTGATCAGACTAGTCTGAATATTTTTATGTTAAATGTCTGATCCATTTATTAAAGTTAAAAATGTTTCTTTCAATTTCCCCCTTAAATTCAAAGTCAGTAACAGCAGTTGTGGTTATGTGGTTATATTATTGCACAGATGTTAACCACAGAGTGGGACCTCTCAGAATATTAGTACTTATGAAAACATGGGAGCAGGCAGTCTGATAATGAACTAGTTAGGGTGTTATTATTGTCTCGTTAAACTTCACAGAAGAGATGTTTCCTCTCAAACATATAGTGTTATCTTTGTAT